CACGCCTTATTGGGCCTTCCGAAAATATTCCTTTAAAAGATCGACGCCTTATTAATCCTTTAAAAAATCCACGCCTTATTGGGCCTTCCGAAAATATTCCTTTAAAAAATCCACGCCTTATTGGGCCTTCCGAAAATATTCCTTTAAAAAATCCACGCCTTATTGGGCCTTCCGAAAATATTCCTTTAAAAAATCCACGCCTTATTGGGCCTTCCGAAAATATTCCTTTAAAAAATCCACGCCTTATTGGGCCTTCCGAAAATATTCCTTTAAAAAATCCACGCCTTATTGGGCCTTCCGAAAATATTCCTTTAAAAAATCCACGCCTTATTGGGCCTTCCGAAAATATTCCTTTAAAAAATCCACGCCTTATTGGGCCTTCCGAAAATATTCCTTTAAAAAATCCACGCCTTATTGGGCCTTCCGAAAATATTCCTTTAAAAATCCACGCCTTATTGGGCCTTCCGAAAATATTCCTTTAAAAAATCCACGCCTTATTGGGCCTTCCGAAAATATTCCTTTAAAAAATCCACGCCTTATCCACGCCTTATTGGGCCTTCCGAAAATATTCCTTTAAAAAATCCACGCCTTATTGGGCCTTCCGAAAATATTCCTTTAAAAAATCCACGCCTTATTGGGCCTTCCGAAAATATTCCTTTAAAAAATCCACGCCTTATTGGGCCTTCCGAAAATATTCCTTTAAAAAATCCACGCCTTATTGGGCCTTCCGAAAATATTCCTTTAAAAAATCGACGCCTTATTAATCCTTTACAAAATCCACGCCTTATTGGTCCTTGAAAGAAAGATTCCTTTAAAAAATCCACGCCTTATTTTAAAAAATCCACGCCTTCCTTCCGAAAATATTCCTTTAAAAAATCCACGCCTTATTGGGCCTTCCGAAAATATTCCTTTAAAAAATCCACGCCTTATTGGGCCTTCCGAAAATATTCCTTTAAAAAATCCACGCCTTATTGGGCCTTCCGAAAATATTCCTTTAAAAAATCCACGCCTTATTGGGCCTTCCGAAAATATTCCTTTAAAAAATCCACGCCTTATTGGGCCTTCCGAAAATATTCCTTTAAAAAATCCACGCCTTATTGGGCCTTCCGAAAATATTCCTTTAAAAAATCCACGCCTTATTGGGCCTTCCGAAAATATTCCTTTAAAAAATCCACGCCTTATTGGGCCTTCCGAAAATATTCCTTTAAAAAATCCACGCCTTATTGGGCCTTCCGAAAATATTCCTTTAAAAAATCCACGCCTTATTGGGCCTTCCGAAAATATTCCTTTAAAAAATCCACGCCTTATTGGGCCTTCCGAAAATATTCCTTTAAAAAATCCACGCCTTATTGGGCCTTCCGAAAATATTCCTTTAAAAAATCCACGCCTTATTGGGCCTTCCGAAAATATTCCTTTAAAAAATCCACGCCTTATTGGGCCTTCCGAAAATATTCCTTTAAAAAATCCACGCCTTTTTTTGGGCCTTCCGAAAATATTCCTTTAAAAAATCCACGCCTTATTGGGCCTTCCGAAAATATTCCTTTAAAAAATCCACGCCTTATTGGGCCTTCCGAAAATATTCCTTTAAAAAATCCACGCCTTATTGGGCCTTCCGAAAATATTCCTTTAAAAAATCGACGCCTTATTAATCCTTAAAAAAATTGGGCCTTCCGAAAATATTCCTTTAAAAAATCCACGCCTTATATCCTTTAAAAAACTATTCCTTACGAAAATATTCCTTTAAAAAATCCACGCCTTATCCTTAATATTCCTTCCGAAAATATTCCTTTAAAAAATCCACGCCTTATTGGGCCTTCCGAAAATATTCCTTTAAAAAATCCACGCCTTATTGGGCCTTCCGAAAATATTCCTTTAAAAAATCCACGCCTTATTTAATATTCCTTCCGAAAAATCCACGCCTATATATCCTTTAAAAAATCCACGCCTTATTGGGCCTTCCGAAAATATTCCTTTAAAAAATCCACGCCTTATTGGGCCTTCCGAAAATATTCCTTTAAAAAATCCACGCCTTATTGGGCCTTCCGAAAATATTCCTTTAAAAAATCCACGCCTTATTGGGCCTTCCGAAAATATTCCTTTAAAAAACGCCTATATCCTTATTGGGCCTTCCGAAAATATTCCTTTAAAAAATCGACGCCTTATTGGGCCTTCCGAAAATATTCCTTTAAAAATCCACGCCTATATCCTTAATATTCCTTCCGAAAATATTCCTTTAAAAAATCCACGCCTATATCCTTAATATTCCTTCCGAAAATATTCCTTTAAAAAATCCACGCCTTATTGGGCCTTCCGAAAATATTCCTTTAAAAATCCACGCCTATATCCTTAAAAAATATTCCTTCCGAAAATATTCCTTTAAAAATCCACGCCTATATCCTTAATATTCCTTCCGAAAATATTCCTTTAAAAATCCACGCCTTATCCTTAATATTCCTTCCGAAAATATACTTTAAAAATCCACGCCTATATCCTTAATATTCCTTCCGAAAATATTCTTTAAAAATCCACGCCTATATCCTTAATATTCCTTCCGAAAATTTCCTTTAAAAATCCACGCCTATATCCTTAATATTCCTTCCGAAAATTTCCTTAAAAAATCCACGCCTATATCCTTAATAATCCTCCCGAAAATATCCTTTAAAAATCCACGCCTATATCCTTAATATTACTTCCGAAAATATTCTTTAAAAATCCACGCCTATATCCTTAATATTCCTTCCGAAAATTTCCTTTAAAAATCCACGCCTATATCCTTAATATTCCTTCCGAAAATATACTTTAAAAATCCACGCCTATATCCTTAATATTCCTTCCGAAAATATTCTTTAAAAATCCACGCCTATATCCTTAATATTCCTTCCGAAAATATTCTTTAAAAATCCACGCCTATATCCTTAATATTCCTTCCGAAAATATCCTTTAAAAATCCACGCCTATATCCTTAATATTCCTTCCGAAAATATTCTTTAAAAATCCACGCCTATATCCTTAATATTCCTTCCGAAAATATCCTTTAAAAATCCACGCCTATATCCTTAATATTCCTTCCGAAAATATACTTTAAAAATCCACGCCTATATCCTTAATATTCCTTCCGAAAATATTCTTTAAAAATCCACGCCTATATCCTTAATATTCCTTCCGAAAATATTCTTTAAAAATCCACGCCTATATCCTTAATATTCCTTCCGAAAATATCCTTTAAAAATCCACGCCTATATCCTTAATATTCCTTCCGAAAATATCCTTTAAAAATCCACGCCTATATCCTTAATATTCCTTCCGAAAATATCCTTTAAAAATCCACGCCTATTAAGCTTCACACATATCCGTTTGAATTTTCAAGTTATCTCGCTAGCTACATCGTTTCGAATCAAAATTTCTAAAAAAACACCAGGCGCCCAGAATTTCACTAAAAGCAGAAGGTTCACAAAAAATGAAAAAGAATTAATAGGCGCCTGAAAGTATGCTCTGAATTTTGTAAATTCAACTTTTGTTAGGGAATTGCGGTGAAAATAACTTTTGTTAGGGCATTTCGGTGAAAATAAATACGCGCCTGAAAGTATGCTTTGGTTTTATATTTGCACGGAGTGCCAGACCAAAATTTTTTTGCAATTTTTTTAGTTTCTGGCTTCTTGCGTTTTGATGCTGGGCGCCTGGTATTTTTCAGAAAATTTCAAATTTTTAACTTTTTTTGGATTATCTCGAGTGAAGTCATATAAGTGACGTCATATAAAGAGAATGAGTACCAAAAGAACACTACCCTACCTTGGTAAATAAAACACAGTTTTTTGTAGAATTTCATTTTATTTTTATTGCACATTTGAAAAATATTTTGTATTCAACAAGTTTACAATGAGGAACATTTTTATCCAATAAGAAGTCGCCATTTTGCAAGAATCATATTCCTGAAGTGCTCAGTTTTGATGATTTGAATGACCACGCACCATATTTTGTCAAGCTCCGTAAAATCCAAAAATTAGACTAATGAAATCTGAAAAGAAATTTTAAAAGTTCCAAAAATAAAATTAATAAAATGTTAATTATATTAAAAATAAATAAATGTGTTTTATTTTTATATTAAAAAATATTTCTTAGGGACTAATACAAGGCGTAGATTTTTTAAAAAAAAAATATTTTTAAGGGACTAATACAAGGCGTGGATTTTTTAAAACAATATTTTTTAAGGGACTAATACAAAGACTAATACAAAATATTTTTTAAGATACTAAACAAGGCGTGGATTTTTAAAAAAATATTTTTTAAGGGACTAATACAAGGCGTGGATTTTAAAAAAAAAAAATTTTTAAGAGACTAATACAAGGCGTGGATTTTTTAAAAAAATATATTTTTTAAGGGACTAATACAGGCGTCGATTTTTTAAAAAAATATTTTTTATGGGACTAATACAAGGCGTCGATTTTTTAAAAAAATATTTTTTATGGGACTAATACAAGGCGTCGATTTTTTAAAAAAAATATTTTTTAAAAAATATATTTTAAGGCAATAGGCGTGGATTTTTAAAGGATTTTTTCTTTAGGGATATTAAGGCAATAGGCGTGGATTTTTAAAGGATTTTTTCTTTAGGGATATTAAGGCAATAGGCGTGGATTTTTAAAGGATTTTTTCTTTAGGGATATTAAGGCAATAGGCGTGGATTTTTAAAGGATTTTTTCTTTAGGGATATTAAGGCAATAGGCGTGGATTTTTAAAGGATTTTTTCTTTAGGGATATTAAGGCAATATGCGTGGATTTTTAAAGGATTTTTTCTTTAGGGATATTAAGGCAATAAATAGTAAATAATATGCAAAATTGTATTTTTTATTTTTTAATTCATAGATTTTATTAATAAATAATTTGTTTTTAAATACATAAATAATTTATTATCACAGATATTATCATAGTTTTTAGACCAATAATATTGGTCAATCGTTTGAAGAATCCTTCTTAATCATCCATGGAGATTAAAGGCCAGGATACTAATGTTGTTGTCCAAAAACAAATAATTGTTGTTGCTGTCTTTGTTGTTGGGCCAATAGTTGTAAATATTGCAAATAAGTGGAATTTCTCATTGATTGTTCCATTATGACCGAGTGGTATTGCTGTTGTTGTTGCTGATAGGCAATATATTGTTGCTGTCTCATCCATTGTAGGGCATTTTGTTCTTGCTGTTGGCGACGTTTCATCAGAGCTCCAACTGTGTTACGCCGACGCTTGAGATTTGAAGGCTGTGGTAAAACATTTGTGGTATTACTGATTGCAACCTCAGTTGGAGGACAACTTTTGGGTCTTTTGTTGGCATTACATTCTTCGTCCTTATCTTCCCATGGTCGAAACAAAGGCTTAATTTGTTTCCGTTTGATTTGTGGTAAATCGGTAATGATATCCTTTTGAGCTTGCTGCAGAATACTCTCAGCTGTTATGGTTTCTTGCTCTTTTTCCATTTCGGTAATTTTCCTTTTGCTGGTAGCAAATTTCTTATGTTGATATTCCTCCTGTTCGTTCTTCATGTTGAATTTTTTGTGTTGATAATTGATAGTTGTTACCATTTTGCGTAATTTGTTCTGACTTCTTAACTCTTTGAGTTGTGTTGCGGGAATAATGTTGTTGTCCTTCGGGGGTAAATTATTTATACAGTTTCAAATGGTTGGGCAGGTATCCTTGGGTGTGGAGGTATTTTACAATTTTCCGGACCCTTATTTTTGGGTTAGTTTTTATTACCTAACTACAAGCGATTAAATATTTTATTGGGGGTAATAGTTAATCACTTTTTAGCGTGTGATGTTGAGGTTAATCCCTATGCAACTAATCCATGTGTTTGTTCTTCGATGGGATGCGGATCCAATAAACGAAGGAATTTATATGACTTCAAAGAAGTTATTTATCTCCTCTGGGCAAAGGAGTTCATTGATGGAAAGAGATTTATTTTTAAATATAAATGGATTGAAGAGTAAAAGAAGGTAACTTTTCCGTTCTCATCATATAAACGAGATGTTAGTGACCATATTTTGTAAGTATTTCCGATGGGAGACCGATCGAATACTATGCAATTATCAATTAAAATATAGCTTAGTTCATGAATATCGAAATTTTAGAAGGACTACAAACATAGGAACTTTTGTATAACGAATTTAAAAATCGGCCAATGGATTTTCAAAAATATTATTAGAAAATTTATATTATGCAGCATATAATGGATGATTTTGACAACCGCTGATTTAAACAGCTCACTCACGTTTCGTGTTTTTCTTTCATTGTTAATATCTTCAATCTGGTCTATAACGTAACCACGAATCGTCGTATTTCAAACGACGAACAACCAGGCTCTGTTATGAAAACTTATCGCGTGCACCACCCATTTTATGGTCAGTTTAATCGTCCCACTGAAGCGATTTTCTGCCTAATGTGACTAAATTTCGCCCCAAATTTAAATGGTTGATCATAAAAATCACCAAAACTTACGTAGAGTCCGAACTGAAATATATCGCCACTATAACGGCCAGTGTATTAATGATGACTATCAATAATCGATTCATCGCCGTTCGCAACAATTGGGCCTCCTCAGTTACTCAATAACGTGGAAATCCTTTCAGAAGGATTTAGGTGTGAGGCCTTTAAAATTTACAGCTGGTGCAAGAATTGAAGCCGAACCCACAATGCAGAAATTTTGGTCGAAGATCCACATTTTTGATCGGAGAATTGCCGAACGGCCTTCTCAATCAGAATTTTTTGTGAATATTCTCTTAGGGAGGTTGGTTGAAAATTTACACTGTTTGATCGACAAATTGTGTTCACCATCGAACCTTTTTGGCTACTTAAATAAGCAGAGCTGTCGATTTTGGAGGGAAGATCGGGCTAAAAAGAATTGCAAAGGCTGACAATGCGTCCAGAAACCAATGAACACAACTACCACCAAAATCTAAAGTCCAGCGATATTTGCACCCTCTTGACCGATTATAGGCCATGAGCTCCACCTTCTAACTCGGACATATTTTCCAGATCTTGTTTTTCCTTCGAGAATATAAAATAAAACGCTAAAAAATATAAATTTTGTCACTTCAGTTATGTTGATTTAACCCTCGGAATATTGACCGATCATCATATAAACAGCCGTTCTAAGTATTTGTTCAGATCCGTTTCACCGTCTAAAATATGTGATGTTCTGCATATAATAATAGCATCTAGAGGGACTAAAAAATCTGTTCAGTTCATTCCACCCCCTAAATATCATCTCAACATCACCGAAAATTGTAGGCGTCGGCCTTGACCATAATTGGAACTTCATTTACAATTTCAAAGGGATCAGCGCGACATTTCCGCCCTCTAACGGGATAATAATAATACAAAACAATATCATAATATATTGATCCCTTTAAATATTTACGTATAATTCTCCCACATCCGAGTACATAAAACAATATAATTGCTATTATGCAATTTAAAGGTCAACCACTCCTTGATACACTACCAACTTCCCGGATCTATGTCCACCAGGAGTAAATATATACGCTATAGAATACAACTTTTGTACAAATTAAAATTTGACCCGCTCAATATTGACCGATCTACATTAAGTCATGCTTATTCCTTGGCATGATTTCCTTCCTGGTGTTAAATTTCGGGTCACAATAGGGATCTTCTTCGGTCCGAAATAAAGCTACATGCAAAATATGATTTACCAATTTTAATTGACAGACGGATGTCTAGATCGACCCAGTTAGTCGAGCTATGACGGGATACTAAAAGGTAGGTCTAGGACCGATATTTTGCGGTGTTACAAACTCTTGATGCCACACAAAGCTATAATACCCTGACAACATAGTTGTGTAGGATATAAAAAGTCACAGTGGGTGGGTTTTATGGGCTGGTGGCATCTTTGGAACGGACTTTTTCAAAGATAGTGCGAATGGGGAAGTCTGCCGTTAGATTATATAATTTTTTCGCCTAAATCTCAAAATCTTGACTTTCATGGCATGTGGTTTCAACAAGACGCTGTCACACAACACGCGTAAAAATTGACTTATTGGGAGGTGAGTTCGGCAAACATCTTATTTTACTTTCGGGAGCGTTCAATCAGCCGCTTAGATGGGCTATGTTAAAATATGCAGGCAAGCCGGCTTCAATTGAACGTTGAAGCATTTATTCGTGGCGTAGCGTCAGAAATGTTGGAAAGAGTATGCAAACATTAGACAATGAGGATGGACCATTTGAATCGCTGTCACTGTCAATATTTGCCTGAATTCAAATAAAGACTACATGCCTTTTTCCGAATTTGGTTGTGTGGATTTTTCTTCTTATAGCGCTTAGAAATCACCATTTATTTTCTATTCAGATAACTAAATTCAATACTTTTGGTTGAATAAAAAGAAATGATCTTTATTAACTTCAGAAAATAATATTTTGAGAAAAATTAAAGGGTGATTTTTTAGCTATTATCTACTTAACAACATTGAATTTAACAGCTCACGAACGTTTCGTTATATATTTCACTGTACTTTTCTGTAGCTCTTATAAAATCACATCACATTATTTCCTATTCCGAATTATGAAATTATTTTTTATTAATTTCAAAAATTACTATTTTTACAAACATTTGGAAGAAATATTTAATAAAGTGTGTTGACCTAAGATAAAGTTGAACACGACCAAATCATTTATTAAGATTTTTATCCTGCAGAAAAAATTTCCTTAGACATAATATTGTAAGTTTTGTGGGATATTTTATATAATTTTCAAACACACCAGACTGGATCAATGGCCTTCCTTGCGGAGATGTCATGTATATATTTAGTGTTTTTGACACATATCCTAATTACATACAAACACATAGATTAGCCACATAGAGATTGACAGCACCTACTCTTAAACTTAAGTACCCATAATAAATAATACTAATCGTTAGGTAATAAAACCCTAATCCTTAGGTACTAAAAATCCCAAATAAGGGTCTCGCAAAATTCACACACTAAGCCAAAGTGGATACCTGCATCCTCCACGTGGAACTGTATAAATAATTTACCCAAGAGGGACAAAAACATTATTCACTCAACACAACTCAAAGAGTTAACAAGTCAACCAAGTTACGCAAAAATGGCAACCACTAACAATTATCAACACAAGAAATTCAACATGAAAATTGAAGAAGAGTCTTATCAGCATAAGAAATTTGCTACCAGCAAGAGGAAAATTCCTGAAATTGAAAAGGACCATGAAACCACAACAGTTGATAGTATATTACAGCAAGCCCAAAAGGATATGACCGCAGATTTACCCCAAATCAAGAGGAAACAAACCAAGTCTTTGTTCCGCCCATGGGAAGATAAGGACGAAAGTGAAGCTACCACAACCACCAAAAGACCCAAGAGCTGTCCACCAACAGAGGTTCCAAACAACAACACTGCAGATGATGTGCCACAGCACTCAAATCCCAAGCGTCGACGTAACACTGTTGGTGCAGCAATGAGACGTCGTCAGCAGCAAGAACAACAAGCCGTACAATGGATGAGACAACAACAATATATGGCCTATAAGCAACAACAGCAGCAATACCACTCGGCCATAATGGAACAATCGATAAGAAATTCCAATTATTTGGCATACTTACAACTATTGGTGCAACAACAAAGACAACAACAACAGCAATTATTTGTTTTTGGTCAACAGCAATAGAGGATGGTACATATTTTGATTGATGATAAATGTCAAACCTTTGAATCATATAATATTTAATTTTTTATAAGAAAATCTGTGATACTAACATTACATTTATTTATTATTATTTAAGACATAATTTATAAAAAATAAACATAATTTAAAATTTAAAAAATTTGTTTTTTCTTCGCTTTACTGATTTCAAAATATTTTGTTTCGTCATTTAAAAAGTGGGATATTTTCAGGGAGGAAAAAAAAATCAAATTAAAAAATATGTAGAGGAAATACAAAAGTTGGACGGGCCGACTTTTAAAATTTTCTTCTCAATAAAGTTTAGAATTTTCAGATAATAAAAATAAAAACCTAAAAAATCCATATAACAGCACGGGTAGTATCAGCGTCTTGTAAAGTGTGAGTTTGTTCTCTGGTTACTTAGACCATAGTAGCATCTGTTGGCCATCACTATCCTTCCCCAAATTTCAAAACTGATGTCATTCGTTTTATTTATGGCGATACCAAGGTATATAAAATCTTTAAATACCTCGAAGCTGTAGTTCTCAAGTTCCACAGTTGGACAGAGTCTACTGAACGTCTTGCGCGTTAATACCATCAGCTTGGTCTTCTCACCGTTTACTGCCAGACCCACTTTGGCAGACTCCTTCTCAATTTGTTCAAAGGTGGCTGTTATCGCTCGCAATGTTCGACCCATTATATCGATGTCATCGGCGTAGGCGAGTAACATGTGTTGTTTGGTGTAAAGAGTGCCATTTCTGTTCACCATTGCGTCTCGTATGACCTTTTACTGCAGGATGTAAAAAAATTCCTCTATAGTTGACACATATCGTCATGCCTCCTTTTTTGTGCACGGGACACATGATGCATAGGATCCAATCATTGGGCATGCATTCCTCTAGCCAAATTGTACTAATCAGCTGGTGCATGCTCCTTACCAGTATCTGACCACCGATTTTGTATAGTTCGGCTGGTAACCTATCGGCTCCTGCTGGTTTATTGCTGCCGATTAATTGATTGTATGACTTCATCTCTTATTGGTTCTGGGGTATCTTCTTCAGCGCCTCTATTTGATACCAGAAGCTTTTCAAAATGCTCCTTCCAGATCCTCAGCACGCAGTTTGTATCTGTCACCAGGTTTCCTTCTTCATCTCTACAGGAGGATGTGCCTGCACCAAAGCCTTCGGTTTGGTGTTTTACCCGTTGGTAGAATTTTCGGTCTTCATTCTGACTCCTGTACATCTCGATTTGCTCACGCTTACGTGTTTCTTTTACTTTCTTCTTTTTTTTTCTGAAAATACGTTTCTCCTTTTCTCCCGGGTTGCCCTATACGCTTTTTCACATCAGTAGCATTACGACACTCCTCATCGTACCATGGGTTTCTTGATGGTGGTTTTTGGTGTTGTTTTTGTTGCAGGGTGGGCAATTCTTTGCCATTGTGCTTCTATACTATTATCGGGACAAGAAGTGCTTTCGTCGTTGAGCGGAGTAGGCCTCGGCTACCTGTTGTGTTTGCAGCTTTTCGACGTCGAGTTTCCGTGTTGTGTTAGATCGCACCTTTGCTGCAACATTAAGACGAGTGCGAACCTTGGCTGCTACAAGGTAGCGGTCCGAATTGATATTCGCTCCTCAAGTCGATCGAACGTCTAGTACACTGCCTCCGTCTATCACACAATGCCTCCTTGTGTATATTGAGATGCTTGAATATGGTGCTTCTAACTACCATGTTTTTTGCTGCTGTGAAGTCAATCAACCTCATGCCGTTGTCGGATGTTTCTTCATGGAGGCTGAATTTTCCGACGGTGGGACCAAAAATATTTTCCCTTCCGATATTTGCATTAAAATCTCCTAGTGAATAAGAAGAGCTCTACGAAAAAATAATTTTTGTGTAGGATTCTTAATTTTTTTTTCAAAATCCCCTTTTTTAAAAAGAAATTTTTAAAAATCGGCTTCTATAAAAAGGAATTTTTAAAATCTCTAGGAAAGTTTGCAAAAAACAATCTTTTTTAAATCGATTCATTTAATTTAATGTTTGAATATTTTTCGTTTATGCAAATGTTGGCTACGAAGGAGGCTCAAATAGTCCACCCCCCCAGTCCCTACATTTTCTTCTACGTTGGTGCGAATTCGCGAATAAACATAAAAATATATATAAAATTATGGCAAATACGCCAATATGACATATCATTCTACATATCGAATCCTCTTATTTTGATCGGGAGCATCTTTCTAAAAAATAAGCTGTAATTTTGAAAAAAAAAATATGCATGACTTTTAGATAGCATCTTAATGCATATTAAGTTTATAGTTTTTTTGTGTTCGAATAAGTAAATAAAAACCTTTTTTTTGCTTAAAAATTATAATTTTTTATTAATAAATATTATACCAATTTAGAATAAATAAATTATAGTTAATTATCACAGATGTTGTTATAGGTTTTAGACCAGTTACACTAGTCAATCAATATAAATATTTTTAAATTAATCCAAAGTGATTAAATGTCCTGTCACTAATGTTGTTGGCCAAAAATAAATAATTGTTGTTGCTGCTGCTGCCTCTGTCGCAGCGCCAATTGTTGTAAATATGCCAAATATGTGGAATTCCTCATAGATTGTTCCATAAGAGCTACATGATATTGCATCTGTTGCTGATAGGCAATATATTGTTGTTGGCTCATCCATTGTGCGGCTTGTTGGTGTTGCTGCTGTTGACGACGTCTCATGGTAGCACCAACAGTATTGCGTCGGCGTTGTGGAATCGATTGTTGAGACAGAATATTTGTGGGGCCCTCTTCAGTTGGTGGACAGCTCTTGGGTCTTTTGGTTGTTGTGTTAGTCTCGTTGTCTTCCTTATCTTCCCATGGCCGAAACAAAGGCTTATTTTGTTTTCTTTTGATTTGTGGTAGATCGGTGGCTATATCCTTTTTAGCTTGCTGCAATATATCTTCAGCTTCCTTTTCAACTTCATCGAATTTTCTTTTGCTGGTAGCAAATTTCTTATGCGGATATTCTTCTTGGGGCTTCATGTTGAATTTCTTGTGTTGATAATCGTTAGTTGTTGCCATTTTTATTTTAATAGCTCTGTTACTCTTTGTTAGCTTGTTAACTCTTGAAGTTGTGTTGAGTGAATAATGTTGTAGTGTAATGGGTCACCTAATTTATACAAGTAATTACATATTAAATAACATAGGCAGGTACTAATTTAGTACCTAAATTTTGTGTATCCCTAATACTAATGACTTAATTTTGGGATGAACCCACTAATTTTATTGCCTAAGTGCCGAAAGGATTAATTATTTTATTGTGGGTGCTTCGATTTAGAGGTGTTTTGTTAATCCCCGATTTATAGCTTCTAGTCCATTTGTTTTTCACATGTTATGATTATTTACATCGGGGGTAAAATATTTATTGAACTCCAAAGAAGTTCATTGATATTTGTGGGTTCTCTCGCGTTTGATTAATAACTGCATGATTATTGAGTGGTTTTGGGAAGAAAGACCTTGTCTGAAAAAGGACAAATAAATGCGTTCGCCATAACAGGATCTGTTAATAGTAAATATTTCAGATGCAACCAAGGACTATACATATTTTAGAGTTTAGACTTTTCTTGGGTAGGGTTGATTAAAAGTTGTACAGGATAATTAAATACATACAAATATATATTTCTTGTCTTTGAGGATACTACCAAAAATATTCTGAGTTACATGTTTATTAATGCAAATAATATGACTCTATAATTGTAAAATGTTGATCTATGCTAAAATTGCCCTTCTAGGTCCATATTATTATCCCAAAGGACATTCAACTCTAATAGAAAATTTCCAAGCATGGACATTTTGATGCTTTGTATATTTAAATCCAATTGGAACGTATGTCCCGAAAAAGACAACAACGAAAAAATTATTGTCTGTAGATCAAATTTCCTAATAAACCTATAAGCTATATATAGAAGTTCGATAATGTTAATATTAGACAATATTAGAATATGTAGACCTCTGAAAATATGTATGTATAATTCCTACATCCCAGTATATACACCATTCTAATGGGTATCAATTTAAATGTCATCCAGTCTATATCTTTCCGGAGTAGATATATACCCTCAAATATGACAAATTTTGTAATTTTTCACACAAAAATTTTTGCCTATTTGACCCTCTAAATATTGGCCGATTTTCATTAAAGCAGTAATATTTTTTTTCGAAACCCCTTTTCTTCATGTAAAACTTCGTGATATTTCAATCATGAATCATGATTGTGGCCTATAGAGCGACCAGAAAAACAGACAAAACAGTTGTTGGTCTATTTCACCCCCTAAATATTAATAGGTGCCTTCTCTGGCCGGAACCTGATTTACGTGCAAAATTTCGTAATAATTGGTCCATAAATGTGACATGTACGTTTTTAAAAATTATTAAGGAGATACTGGTCTAGATCTACTCAGTTAGTCGAGATATGAAACAATCTGTATACATAAAGGGTTTAGGACTAATATTTCGAGACGCTAACAATTCCTGGGGCCACACGCACTTATAACTTCGTTGTAAGGATATTACAAATCCAGCGAGCGGAGCAGTATAATATAGACGGGGCCGACCATATGACACTCTACACAACTACAACGAATATCTAATTTTCCGCGTTTCTTTATTGAGCATGGGCAATATTGCGCAAGTATTTGCACCCCCTTTCCCGAAAGAGTTTCAATGTCCGTATTTTTACATTTTATGAAATGCAATCATAAAACTTTAAATACTGGCATAGAAGTTCTTCTGTTTCATTTTATGTTATTAATTTTTTATTATTACAAACATGTTGAACCATATACAAATTTAAATATTTGGTTGGGCTTGATTTACATCGAAATAATTTGGAAAATGCATATGGGAATTGTACCACACCAATGAAGAGGTCGGGAGCGGTGCCTGAAATAAATAAACATTGCACTCCATTGTTTATTTATTTCAGGCACCGCTAATCAAACAATTAAGTAAGTGATGAGACTCGGTTGATAGCAAGATAAAAAATTAATCACTACCAAATGAGGAGAGAAGCCGAGGGCGATACCAAAACAAAACACAGCTGAACATCGAATGGTGATTGTGCTTCTTTTTTCTTCCGAGGGATACATTTTTTTTTGCCAAGAAAGAGAGAGAGAGAAGAAAATGCGCGCAAAAAGTGTTAAAGTAAAGAGATGCAGGAAAATTGTTTTTATATTAATAAAAAGTTTACTTTTTTTGGATTACATATTGACTTTTTTCATTTTCCATATGATTTGCTAAATATTGGTTAATCATCATCAATACAGTGATTATAAAGTAGGCCAGATCTTGCTCTCGATTGCGATTTTAGGCAAAATAAAGTTTTCGACCCATTTCACTTCCCATATATCATCTGATCAAAACCGAAAAATATAAATACATCAATAAAAGAATTGAAATAATAAAACTATATCCTGGCTTATCAGGAAGTTATGTTGTCATAAATCTTGTTGTTGAAATATTACAAATCTTCTTGAGATATTCAAAAAATGCTGATATTATCAATTAACATTAGGAAAGGGCTGCTATAAAAGTATTCAACTTGTGGGTACATAACCAAATTAAGTAGTAAACAAACGGATTAGCAGGTATTATAAAGGGGGATTAATAACATCTTGCAGAAATGGTAACTATAATAAAAATAATACACTTTTCCTAATTAAGTAATAAAAATAGGAATATACACTATAAAGATGAATTTTGAGCGATAACAATATCAGGTAAAGTTTTACCAAAATCCTCAAGGTGAATTGTATAAATAATTTGACCCTAGAGGACAACAACATTATTCACACAACATCACTCACTCAAGGCCTAAGAAACAACAAAAATATAAAATGGCAGCAATCACCAACGATCTTCAACACAAGAACGAGGAAGAAGGGGATCAATATCAACACAAGAAATTCACTAACAACAAAAGGAAATCGAAAGAAATGGAAAAGGAAGATGTAATCATAACAGCAGAGGATATTTTAAACAAGCTCAAAAAGATATAACCACCGATGATTTACCACAAATCAAAAGGAAACAAACGAAACCTTTGTTTCGACCATGGGAAAGTAAAGAAAAAAGTGACACCAAACAACCCGAGATTTGTCCTTCAACTCAGAAGCTTCCATCGAGCAATACTTTTAATCCTGTGGCATATCTAACAAATTTACAACGCAAACGTAACCACAGAGAGAGTACTTTAACGAGGCAACAGCAACAACGAGAACAGTGGATGAGACAACAACAATATCTGGTTTATCAGCGACAACAGCAAAAATATCAAGCGGCTATAATGGAGCAATCGATGAGACAGCAATCCAGTTATTTGGCATATTTGCAACAATTGGCCCTACAACAGAGGCAGCAACAACAATTATTTGTTTTTGGACAGGAGTATTTGAAGTAACTAAATGTTTATCGATAAATTCTTAGGTTAATGGATAAATGGCTGATTGAATTGGTCGAAAACAAAAACATTGTCCACGAGACGTTTCTGTGATAAAAACACACAATTAATATTTTATTTTAAGCTTTAAATATTTAACTTATTATTAAATAATTTATTAATAAAAAAATAGAAAAATCAAATTTTATGATTTTATAAATCTAATATTTTTAAAAAATCGACACATTGATATCTACATAAAACATTGGAAAAAATCGATTCAGATTTAGATATAGCTCCATATATATTTTCTTCCGATTTTAGGTACATAGTGCACCAATCTCCCTTTATATCCTTCGATGTGCACGAAATTTGGCATAGAATACTGAATTGAGTCTAAAATGATGTGTGGTAAGTTTCGGAAAAATCTGTTCAGATTTCGATATAGCTCCCACATTACATATACAGGGTGAGATGAAAAAACTACAACCCACTTCAGACTGCTGTCATTTCTAAGCAACTTATGATTTGAAGATGAAAAAATATTTTTGGAGATGAGCGGAGCAAATCCACCTGTGTTAAAAACAGGATTGCCACGACCGGATCTGGTAAAATGAAAAATTTCAGACGAAACAGATAACTATTAACATTTTAAAGTTTTTGCGGAATACGTATTTATATGCATTTCTCAAATAAGATGGATTAAAAGAATCTTTTATAATGTATTGTAGGGACGCCAAGGTCTGAAGGTTCGGTCCGGGCGAAAGGGCGACACATACTGGCAATTTGGATTATTATCTTTAACCACAAGTATTTTTTTAAACACTTGTCCGAAAGCTGTTAAAAATTTCCAGTGACTCATTATATTTTTTACAAGCGTACAACAAAAGCATTTTGGTAAACATTTTGCAGAAAAAAGCTTTTCGTGATGGAACCGAAAGAAAAAAGACTGAAAAGAGCTAAATAGCATGGCCGAAAGTGGTGAACTGCCGAATTTGATTTTCTTCGATGAGAAAACATTCGTTGTCCAGCAGTTTGTAAACAAACAAAATGATCGCGTTTACTTGCCAAAGAGGTCAGCTGAAAATGTAAACCTTCGGTTGGTCACCAAAACTCAAGCGTCGGCCATAGTGATGATGTAGGCCGCATAACAACTGATGGCAGATCTTCGCTCGTATTAATCGAATATCATCAGAATAAATGTTGAATATTATCGGGAAAATATTTTGGAGGGTGTATTAAAGCCTTGGGCACGCAAACATTTTGGCCGCAGACCTTGGACATACCAACAGGACCATCCTGAGTGCAATGGTGGACGCGCCACCCAAGAATGGTTACAAAATGAGGTTCCTCGCTTCATTTCCAGCGCAAAATGGCCATCAACATTTCCTTATACCAATCCGTTGGACTACTGTGTCTGGAATATTATGGAAAGCAAGGTTGGCACTAAAAAATGCCAAAGTGTCGATCAACTCAAGCAAGCGCTTCGTTGGGAATGGGCCAAAATACCGCAGAGCAACAATCGGGCAGCGTGTGATGGTTTCATTGGTCGTTTGAAGGCCATAATTCGCGCCAATGGTGACCAATTCGAAAAAATCTAAACTTATTCTAAAATTTGACGCTATTTTCGACATTTTTGCTTTCATTGTGGCGCTTGACTTTGTTGCGGTTTTTTTATCTCACCCTATATATTGGTCCGATTTTACATATAATGGTGCACCAAACTCCTAACGTTTGTTCGATTAACACGAAATTTTGCACAATGTTATTGCGATATGCTTCCATATGTACGCAACTATAGCTTCCATATATATTTCGCGAACGGGTGTCTGATTGAGATTAAATTTTTAACAGTGCAGCATACCGAATAGCATGTATCAATTTTGCTATAAATCGTTTTCCATAAATTTGTCCCATGGTACGCAGACGACTCTAAATCTGCCCGAATGAAATTAAATTTAGTATAGGTTGCAGAAAGACATGAGTATGTTCCTTCGAGGGAACACTGACATGCAATTGTAAGGATACAGTCCGACTTTACTAGGTTCCTTTACTGGTTTATTTATACCATTTGTATTAAAATAAAGTAAACATCGCAGTTTAGAAACAAAGCAACCTCTCGCCAGACCATGCTAACACTTTACAATACGCTGATACTACCCGTGCTATTATATGGATCTGTAGCATGGGTACTTGCGCAAGCAGATGAGGCAGCTCTTGGGGTGTTTGAAAGAAAAATTCTCCAAAAGCCGATCTGCATCGTATAGAGCTGCAGCGACTACGATGGCTAGGCCATTTTGTGCGAATGAATGAGAATTTGCGCACAAGACCGACGCGCTTGGAAATCTTTTTTAAGCTCGGCTTATGGAACAACCGTTCTGTAACAAGTCAGCTAAGTAAGTAAGTAACATCACCTCGTCAATTTGATCCTTCAGTTGTTGATTCCGAATATTTATGATCACGCAACATCACACTCATCAATGAACTTCTCTGGAGATCAATACAATATTTCACCTTTTGGGCAAATTCTCACACCATGTGCAAAACAAATGGATTAGTAGCCATAAATCGGGGCGTTAGCAATCCCCCTTTAAAAATTAACTACCTATAATAAAATATTAAATCCTTTAGGTACCTAGGTAAAAAAAAGTTCCTGGGCTCACCCCAAAATTAAGTCATTAGTAGGGACATTGGAAACAGGTACAAGGATTATACCTGTAAAAGGAAACTTAATCAGCAATTGGGTGTATAAATAATGTGTGCCAATTGGACTAGAACATTATTCACTCACCACAACTCAAGGAGTTAACAACAAACATTTAATATCAAAATGGCAACAAATACCGATTATCAACACAAAAAATTCGCCAAAAAGACCGAGGAGGAATATCAACATAAGAAATTTGCTACCAGCAAAAGGAAATTTAATGAAATCGAAAAGGAAGAAGTAACCATAACAGCTGAGGATATATTGCAGCAAGCTCAAAAGGAGATGAGTACCGATCTGCCACAAATCAAGAGGAAACAAACTAAGCCTTTGTTCCGACCCTGGGAAGATAAGGAAGAAAGTGAAGGTCCTACAACCACCAAAAGACCCAAAAGCTGTCCGCCAACTGAGGAGGTTCCCAGTATTATGACACAGCAATCGAATTTAAAACTTAGACGCAACACCGTTGGTGCCATAATGAGGCGTCGTCAGCAGCATCACCAACAACAAGCCGTACAATGGATGAGACAGCAACAATATATTGCCTATCAGCAGGAACAACATTATCAAGCGGCTATAATGGAACAATCAATGAGGAATTCTAGTTATTTGGCATATTTACAGCAATTGGCCCTGCAACAGAGGCAGCAACAACAATTATTTGTTTTTGGTCAACAACATTAGAGACATGACATTTAAACACTTACAAATATTTATAATGATTGACTAGTGTATCTGGTCTAAAAACAATGACAGAATCTGTGATAATTAAAAAAATGTTTATTTATTTAAATAAGTATAATATTTATTAATAAAACCTTTAATTTTAAAGCAAAAAGCGATTAATCTTAATTTTTTTATTTTTATTTATTCGAACATAAAGGAGATTATTGAAAATTTATAATGATAATCTAGAGGTTCATCTCATTTTTTGGATAGATGTTCTCCATCTTATAAGGGGATTCGATTATATAGTTATACCCTACATAACTATAATGTGAGGGTGTTATAAGTTCATGTGGCCCCGAGAGTTTGTTACGCTGTAAAATATGGCTGCTAGATCTGCCATTTAGTATATTGATCATATCTGGACTAGCTGATTCGATTTAGATGAGTTTGACCGCCTGTCTGTCAATTGTCAAGAAATTTTGCATATTCGGTTCTGACCAAAGACGACGCCCATTTTTTTTGCAATAACCGCAGATTTCTTTTCAACGAATAGACATGGATGTTTTGATGACGAGTTCGCGTATCGACTATACAAACACATTTTTATGAAAAATTACAAAAAAAAAAAGAAAAAAAAATAGAATACACCTGATTCCAGTTGAAGATGATTTTTGTATCATAGGGTCGATCCCATCCGACTATACTGCCCCGCTTAGAAAATGGGTAAAAACTAGTAAAAATACGATTATAACCCCAAAATGAGTTTTTTTTTTAATTTTTGACATTTAGGCTGAGTTCTGATACATATAGTAAAACATTATGGCGAACATTTCTGTAGAATATTCTGAGCAGGTTTGACCTCGTTTTTAATGAGTTTTCGATCACTTCTCTTTCATAAACCGTTGAAATTTCCCGGTATTTTTTTTGTGTTGCACAGTGTTATTTATTAAAAAAATCTGGCCTTTAATTGTCATATTTTTTTTTAAATCCAGGTCTTTAATAGTCCTCAAAAATATATATTTAAAAAATCCACGTCTTCAATAGCCCTTAAACATATTTATAAGCAATCCAAAACCTTAATAGAATAATATTCTTTAAAAAACTACAGGACTTTAAAACGTTTAATTCTTTTTTTAAACGCATGCCTTAAATAGTCCTTGAAAAAGTATATTTAATAATATTATTATAAAAAATCCAATCCTTCATTACTTTTTAAAAATATTTTTAACATAATGCCCTTAATAGACCGTTAAAGATATTCTTTAACCAGTGAGCGGAGAAATATAGTCGGGGCCGACCATACGATACCCAACACAACTACCACGGAACTCTAACTTTCTGCGAATTTTTATTTCGAGCCTGAGCTATATTTCGTGATAATTACACCTCTTGACCGACTGCCCTTCTAATTACTTGTCCAGATTCCCTTCACCGTGGGTTGTGTTGTGATGTTCGGCTTTCAATTGTGGCCTATAGATCGACTGAAAAAAAAAAACAAAAAAATAAGTTTCCGGTCCTATTCATCCCAAAATTATTATCTGATCATCAACGATAATTATTGGCGTTATCCTTGACCATATCTGAATCCTCATGGAATCCTCATGGCGATCAGCGCTATATTTTCACCCTCTAATGTTAATGGGTTACTAAATAACATATGAATACGTAAGCACCTGTAAATATTTAAGTGTAATTCCCACATCCGTATACATATGACAATATACTTTGTATCAATTTAATGGTCAACCACTCCTCGTGGATATACTATCAACTTCTCGGGTATATGTCCTTCAGGAGTAAATATATACGCTATAGAATACAAATTTTGTAATTTTTCACACAAAAGTCAGGACCAATTTGACCCGCTAAATATTGGCTGATGTTTATCAAAACTGGCATGCTTCTCCTTTGGCCCGATTTTCTTCGCTATGTTTGGGACATAATTGCGGCCTCTGGAGCGACCAGAAAACCCGACATTTCACCCCCTAAATATTAACCGATCTTTACCAAAACCAATAGCGGTCTTCATTGGCCAGAACCCATACTACATTTAAAATTGGTCCATAGCTGCGGCTTTTATTGTGTTTAAAAATTATAACGGACAGACGGATGTCTAGATAGACTCAGCTAGTCGAGATATGAGGCGTTACAAACACTTGGGGCTGCACAAAGCTATAATACCCTGACAACATAGCTGTGTAGGGTATAAAAATACATGACTTTAAAAGTCCTCGAAAAAAATCGTGTAGAAAAAATATGTTTAAAAATCTATTATTTTTATAGTCCTTTAAGAAATCATTTAAAAAATCCAAACCTTTAATTGTCCTTTTTAAGGTCTTTTTTTTTTAAAAATGCATGATTTATTAGTCATTGAATAAACATTATTTAAAAAATTCTGGTTCTTGAAAAAATTTAAAAAATCCACTTCTTGAATTTTATCGTGGGATACGCTTGCTTTAAGGCGTAGGTTGTCTAAGAACGACCGTTGTGCCATTGAAGTTTGAGATAGAGGCACCTGTGGGCTTTTTCCTCCAGCAAACATTTGATAATGCGTAAAAATGTTAAACAAGTTTTATTTTCGTCTTTTTTCAAGCGATTTTAAAATTGATCGGGATTTATCGCCATACAAATATTTATCTATGTCGGTGTACCTTATCATAGTTAAAAAGGCTGTAAACTCGGCAAAATATTAGAATTCTATAGAGCATCATTATAATTTTTATGCTAAATTTTGTTGTGTTCGAATAAGTAAATACAAAAATTGCTATTTTAATTATAATTTTTTATTAATAAATAATATACTAATTTAAATAAATAATTTATATTTAATTATCACAGATCTTGTCATAGGTTTTTAGACCAATTCGATTAGTCAATAAATATTTTAAAATAAATCCAAAGCCATTAAATGTCCTTCATCTAATGTTGTTGACCAAAAACAAATAATTGTTGTTGCCGGCTCTTTTGCAGGGCCAATTGTTGTAAATATGCCAAATAATTGGAATTCCTCATCGATTGTTCCATTATAGCCGCATGATATTGCTGCTGTTGTTGCTGATAGGCAATATATTGTTGATGCCTTCTCCATTGTACGGCTTGTTGGTGGTGTTGCTGCTGACGACGTCTCATTGTAGCCCCAACAGTGTTGCGTCTGACTTTTGGATTCGATTGTTGTGAAGTATTAATTTTGGACACCTCCTCAGTTGGTGGACAACTCTTGGGTCGCTTGGTGATTGTGGTAGCACAACTTTCTTCCTTATCTTCCCATGGTCTGAACAAAGTCGTAGTTTGTTTTCTTTTAATTTGTGGTAGATCTGTGCTTATATCCTTTTGGGCTTGTTGCAATATATCCTCGACAGTTATGGGTACTTCTTCCTTTTCAATTTCATTAAATTTTCTTTTACTGGTAGCAAATTTCTTGTGTTGATATCCATCCTCAACCTTATTCTTGTTGAATTTTTTGTGTTGATAATCGTTAGAGGTTGTCATTTTTAATGTTTGCTCTTAACTTGTTAACACTTTGAGTGATATAGAGTGAATAATGTCCTATTCCAATTGGCGCACATTATTTATACAACTAATTGCTGATTAAGTATCCTTCTACAGGTATAATCCTTATACCTGTTGACATATCCCTCCTTATGACTTAATTTTGAGATGACACCACTAATTTTTATTACCTAGGTACCTAAAGGATTAATAATTTTATTACGGGTAATTAATTTTTAGAGGTGGATTGCTAATCCTCGATTTATTGATACTGATCCCTTTGTTTTGCGAGCGATGCGCAAAACCTTATGAGCTAAGTTAAAACATTTTCTGGTACTCCATTGAAAAATTCACCTTTTCCTTTCAAAACCACAAATATCGAAAACAATGGGCTAATAAAAAATGTATATGGTGATACAATCTAATTTGTTGTTGTAAGATTATACAAAAATATATATAATCAATAATATTGAAATAAATATAAAAATACATGCCTTTGTTGTCCTTGAATGAAACATTTACACAAATCCACACCCCGAGTTGCTTTAAAGAAAATACACAAATCCACGCCAGTTATAGTCCTTGAAAGTAATATTTATATAAAATCCACGCCTGTAAAAATATTTTTATAAAATCCTCGCCTGCAAAGGTCAGCAAAAAAATATTTTCACTGTGGATTTAGAACCTCCACACCAGTCCTTTAAAAATATTTGTAAATAATCCACGTCTGTAATAGTCTTTGAAAAAAACTATTTTTCAACCAGTGAGCAGAGCAGTATAGTCGGACAGGGCCGACCCTACGATACCCTACACAACTACCACGGAACTCTAACTTTCTGCGGATTTTTTCCGAGCCTGGGCAATATATCGAGATAGTTGCACCTCTTCCATACACTGACTTATTTTCCGAATATTATTAATATTCAGAACAGTCCTTCTAATTACTTGCCCATATTCCCTTCACCTTGGGTTGTGTTGCGATGTTCGGCTTATAATTTTGGCCTATAGATCGACTCGAAAACACACACAAAATAGGGCATAGTTTTGTAGGGCATAAAAAACCTAGCCTCAAATATTCCCTTCAACTTACTTAGAAAATGTTGGCTTTAAGTTTATTAAACGTACACGATTTGTACCCGATTCTAACAGTCCCTGATAAAATATTTAAAAGAAGTGCAGGTCTTTAATAGTGCTTAAAAATTATTAGGAAACCAGCTCGTCTATAAGAAGGCCTTCGACTCATCTATAAGAACTCTTCTTCTATAAGAAGGGCTATAGCATTTCTATATGAAGATCTTCAGGACAATATTTGATAGCTCCTCTATGAGAAGACCTTCAGCTCTTCTATGAGAAGACCTTCAGCTCTTCTATGAGAAGACCTTCAGCTCTTCTATGAGAAGACCTTCAGCTCTTCTATGAGAAGACCTTCAGCTCTTCTATGAGAAGACCTTCAGCTCTTCTATGAGAAGACCCTTCAGCTCTTCTATGAGAAGACCCTTCAGCTCTTCTATAAGAAGACCTTCAGCTCTTCTATGAGAAGACCTTCAGCTCTTCTATGAGAAGACCTTCAGCTCTTCTATGAGAAGACCCTTCAGCTCTTCTATGAGAAGACCCTTTAGCTCTTCTATGAGAAGACCCTTCAGCTCTTCTATGAGAAGACCCTTCAGCTCTTCTATGAGAAGACCCTTCAGCTCTTCTATGAGAAGACCCTTCAGCTCTTCTATGAGAAGACCCTTCAGCTCTTCTATAAGAAGACCCTTCAGCTCTTCTATGAGAAGACCCTTCAGCTCTTCTATGAGAAGACCCTTCAGCTCTTCTATGAGAAGACCCTTCAGCTCTTCTATGAGAAGATCCTTCAGCTCTTCTATGAGAAGACCCTTCAGCTCCGCTATGAGAAGACCCTTCAGCTCTTCTATGAGTATACCTTAAGCTCTTTGATAAGAAGGCCCTTCAGCACTTCTAAAAGTAGACCCTTCAGCTCTTTCATAAGAAGACCCTTCAGCTCTTCCATAAGAAGACCCTTCAGCTCTTCTATAAGAAAACCATTCAGTTTTTCTATAAGGAGACACTTTAGCTCTTCTATAAGAATACCCTTCAGCTCTTCTATAAGAAGACCCTTCAGCTATTCTATGAGAAGACCTTTCAGCTATTCTATGAGAAGACCTTTCAGCTCTGCTGTGAGAAGACCTTTCAGCTCTTCTATGAGAAGACCTTTCAGCTCTTCTGTGAGAAGACCTTTCAGCTCTTCTATAAGAAGACCCTTCAGCTCTTCTATAAGAAGACCCTTCAGTTCTTCTATGAGAAGACTCTTCAGCTCTTCTATGAGAAGACCTTCAGTTCTTCAACTCTTCTATAAAACGATCTTTATGAAGTCAGAACGATGTTATGAAGTCAAACATTTTCTTCTTGTCTTCTAATAAACTTCTGTATTTTTATAAAAAAACGTGTTGGTCCTCTCCTGGAATCCCCTCTGATTTTCTTTAAGAAAACATGCTATTGTTTTTCTTTCAATTTCCAATCACTCCTTAATTCTTCATAAAACGGACCTCCTGCTCTTTATTAGTTAATTAAACAAGACTACCACTTACAAAAGAGTTCATTTCTCATTAAAAGATGTTTCTCAGTAGCTGGAACAAAATAGGCAAGAATTGTTAAAATATAACAAATATGGATACGCCCAAAGGCTGTAGCATAATTCAAAGAGATTGTCATGTTTTTCTTTCTTCAGATATTCTTCTATTTTTTATTCAATAAACACAATAGCCAAAGAGGGGGAAAAAAACAATCATGAAAAAGGATACTCTAACAATTGACAGGCCTTCCGTTCACACAAACATTGTCTCAAATTCTAAAGCCGTGGATCGAGGGAGATTCTAATTAAATCTTTCGTTATGGTTTATTTTGGTGCTGGCTGTGTAAACATGATCAGTTGGCAGGCAGGCAGGGTAGGGTATTCAAATAATAAATCTATGCCCATATCTCATTTTTGTTGCTTTTGTTGTATTTCTATTTTTTGTTTACACACTCTTCTAAGTAATTGGACAATTGCTTTTAAAGAGCTCAAAAAGATAGACTTCCAGATAAGCGGAATGGGTGGATGAATGCCACACATTGTTGACGCAGCATGATACAATTTCACTCATCATTTTTATTGAATAAACACAATGGCAGGCCAAGAGGGACAGATGGAAAAATAGACGACCTTGTTGTTGTTGCTGCTGCTGTTGCCCAGATCCCCCTCCTCTCGTTCTCTAAGAAGGGACCTAAACAAACATAACATGTTTACTAAAGACCATCATCACAACATAAAACATTTCAATGTCAGGTCGGACTCACACAGATATCTATCTGTGTGAGTGTGTGTGTGCTGGTTGTTTGTTTATCCCGCCGCTCACACATGTTTACTTCTTAGTCCAGATCAAATCAATCTGTTTTGAAAAGAAATTTCAAAAAATTTGCAACCTGCTGTGCATGAAATCATGTAAAGACCCAACATGTAGGTGATAAGCCATGCGCCTGCGCGAAACCAAACACTGACGGCGCACCCAGCCACATGCATTTGTCATTGTTTGTTGTAGTCAAACACTCACACACAGCGGCAGCAGCAACAACAACAAAAGGCTTATCTTGTTTTCCCTGTGGATTTAATTGTCCGATTTGAGAATGAAAAGATATTAAAAGAATTTCCTCTGGCCCATGACTGGTGTAAGAAGGACGACCAACCAGCACTAGTCCTTGCAGGTTGTCGTCTTTGCGACTTTATTGTTACAATGGACGAACAAATGTTGTTTCTTTAAAACCATAGCAAATAGTAAGGGGAATATTTGTAAACAAAACCAATTCCAAATGAGATTAACAGGAATATTGGAAACACGCAGGATAAATAATAGCAGATATCCTGTTTATCCTGAATAAATAACTTGTTGTCGTTTGAGAGACAACAATGGAGGGAGGAAAAACACGTCCAGGATACATATGTTTGTATGGCACATTGTGTGTGTCCAAAAGAACGCAGTACTGACAATATTTATAGCAATAATAATTATAATCCCCTGGACTTGTTTGTTTCGAAATTTCCGTAAGTAGATGGATTAATTTAAACCGGAACATTGCATTATTATCTTCCAAGGATATTAGGGATTTGATGGATTACAAAACAAAAGAAAAATATTACATAAATATTTTGTAATCTAAACGTGATTTAGATTATGCTAGAATCCTCTCCTGCAAATCGATGAAGATCTTAAAGTTTTCTTAGAGCACAGATCATGAGGTCAATTTAAATAAGAACAACGGTTATTTTAATACATGGCCAGAAGAACTTATAATAGAAGAACAGGAAGTCTTTTTACAGAAGTTTTAAATATTCTTCTTACAGAAGACCAAAAGTTGTTCTTATCGAAATCAAAAGTTGTTCTTATAGAATAATTGCAAGTTCTCCATACATCGAACAACTGAAAGGTCCTCTTATAGTAGAGATGTAAGGTTCACTTAAAGAAAAGCTGAAAGGTCTTCTCATAGAAGAGCCGTAGGTCTTCTCATAGAAGAGCTGAAGGTCTTCTCATAGAAGAGCTGAAGGGTCTTCTCATAGAAGAGCTGAAGGGTCTTCTCATAGATGAGCTGAAGGGTCTTCTCATAGAAGAGCTGAAGGGTCTTCTCATAGAAGAGCTGAAGGGTCTTCTTATAGAAGAGCTGAAAGGTCTTCTTATAGAAGAGCTATGAAGGTCTTCTTATAGAAGAGCTGAAATGTCTTCTTATAGAAGAGCTGAAATGTCTTCTTATAGAAGAGCTGAAGGTCTTCTTATAGAAGAGCTGATGGTCTTCTTATAGAAGAGCTGATGGTCTTCTTATAGAAGAGCTGATGGTCTTCTTATAGACGGTCTTCTTATAGAAGAGCTGAAGGTCTTCTTATAGAAGAGAGCTGAAGGTCTTCTTATAGAAGAGCTGAATGTCTTCTTATAGAAGAGCTGAAGGGTCTTCTTATAGAAGAGCTGAAGGAT